CCGCGGGCTCCCCTGACGTGCCCTCCCCTCCATGGAACGGGAAGAGTCTCGACACCTGCAAGGATGAACCGACGCCTGTCAGTACATCCTCGTTCTCTGGATTGTCCCACTCGATATCGTCGGCTATCTATTTTCCTTCCTCCATCACCTCGTCGTCGTCACCATCATCATGATCATCATCGTCGTCGGTGTCCTCCCCTCGTTACTGTGCCTACAGGTTCCATTGCTTCTTCCTCTTCTTATCCTCCTTCACCTTCCTCAGCCGCTCGCCCTCGGCACGATTCGTCATCCTCACGACCGAATCCCTCGACAATGGTGCCAGGTGATTCGTGAGGATGAGGTCCCTTGGCTGGTCCCGCCCCTCTCAAAATTAGTATCATGAGGTCGGGAAATCAATTGAAGAGAAGGCAAGAGAAAGGGAAACTTACAAAGACGACATAGCCTGGCTCTGGCCGCATCGGAGGATGCCCCGGCATCGGGTAAACGAAGTCTAGGGCGGCACCCGCATCGTCCCGCAAAGGCTCCATCACCTCCTTGATGCGTTGTGTGATCTCGGAGTTGGGGAGCATTTCCTCGGCGAGCGTCGTTCCATCAAACGACGCCTCAGGCGCCATCGCGTATAGCGGGAGCGCGTGCGTCATCAACGGCGCCACCCTCCTTTCATGGTAAGCCCCGATGACGCCCGACCCCTTCAGGCATTCTCCTTTAGGATGTGGATGACGACGATGTGGTCTCGGATCTTCTTCTTATCCTTCTCCGTGATGCCCCACTTCCTCCACTGATCCGGGGCATCTTCGATCAGGCGCTCGGTGAACTCCAGCAGAGGGGCTGCGATGTTATTCTTGAGGTAGAGCCATTGCGAGTGCCACCCATTGTTAGACGTCGAGAGCTGCATAGACAAGTACTCGCTGACCCAATTGTTCTAAAGTTGGATGTCGGCGCACCCCATCGGCATGTGTAGCTCCTGCCTACCGCTTTTCTCCCTCTTCTTCTAGAGGTTAACGGCGAAGAAATGCCTCCACAAGTCAAAGTGGGGGCTGATCCCCTAGAACCCCTCACACAACACGATGAACGCCGACATGTGCTGGGGATTGAGATGCTATAACTCAATCTTGTAGTAGTGCAGCAGCCCCCGAAGGAATTTGTGGGCGTGGGTCGCGAGCCCACGCTCGTGGAAGTAGGCGAACGACACCATGTAGCCATCGGGCAGCGATGGCAAATCCTTGTCGTTGGGCAGCAACCACTCCTCGGCTGAGGTCCACGCGTGGAGAAGACCACGACGGACGAGTCCCTCCTTGCGCTGGAAGGTGATGTTGGAATGACACCATGGATCCATTGGAGGTGGGGGCGGATCGATGTGGGCTCAACTGTGATGGAGATGCAGAGGCAGGAAACCTAAGCATTAGCGGTGGTGGCATAGCTGTGGAGGTAGGGATGCAGGCGTGCATATGAAACACGAAGGACTAGCCCTTTGGTTTTATAGGGGCGATGGGTGCGAGAAAACCAACCGTCCGCCTAGATCTCCACTCCTGCCACGACCTGTCACCATGACTCGTCGTGGGGCGTACGCACGCAACCTATGGCCGTCCCCTCGGAAAATGCGTTGGACGTTTCGCCTCCCCGAACAAGCCACGACCCATCATAGGTAAAAAGGGATACGGAGTTGAAAATGCTCCTACAGCCCGTCTAGGCCCAGGAGTTGGAAGGTTGGCCCACCGACGGGTTCGACAACCGCTCCAGGCACCTTTAGAGTGAGGGATGGAAAGGAATGGGCCCGCTATCAGCCAGAACCCGGGCGCACGAGCGCCATGGGCATCCCGGCCCACGTTCGAGTCTTGGCTAGATACGATCCATGGGTTTTCCTCGAAGAAAGGCAGAGAGCCATCGGGACTGGTCGAACGGACCCGAGAACTATATGGATTGACCACTGAGAATCTAGAGTCGGTCACCAAGCTAACCCAAGCCGAATCCCCGCGAACGGGATGCTGGGGCCCCACTCGGACTAGCCCATTAACAGTTCATCGAACACCATAATTCGTCTATAGAGAAAAATCATGACACGGCTCGACCCCTCCGTTTTTATCAAAAAAACGCTTGAGGGAAGACAATCGCAAAGACGAGCCGATCATCGACCGGACCCCTGCTATGGGCGAAGGCTCGAGGAAAGTTAGACTCGCACGAAGATTGAGCGCACGGGCGTAGAACGATAGACCTCTGTAGGGGTCAAAATCAGAAAAGACCTTTTCCGACCTACCAAATCTCACAGCTATACCCCGAGGGGTTCGATCTCGACGAAAGGGAATCACCGTCCCCAGGTCACGCCGTGGGTGACAAAAGAAGGCCAAGGCCCTCAGGGTCCTTCTGTCCGAAAAAGCCTCCGAACAAGTATTCTACTCCTCCGCAGGCTTGGGGGCTACTGTCGTGGACTAATACTAGGCTACCCAAAGAGGAGGAGCTAATGGTCATCAATATTGATTCATCCGAGCAGCCAAGAGCACGACTACAGCTCTAACCGACCCCTAGGCGCGTAGGCTCCACCTCGCTCGACCTCTGAGGAAGGACTCCGCCTCACCCGACCTCTGAGGGAGGGCTCTGCCTCGTCCGACCCTGAGGCCGCGGGCTCCACCTCGCCATGCCTCTAGGAGCGGGCTCCGCCTCGCCCGACCTCGAGGCCACGATCTCCGCCTAACTCGACCCCGTGGGTGCGGGCTCCGTCTCGCCTGACCCCATGGGTGCAGAATCCGTCTCGCCCGACCCCTTGAGTTCGCACTCCGTCTCGCCCGATGAAGACCCATATCGTCGCCAACGACTCCAGGTCTAGGCGTATGGGCCCGGGTCAAGACTATGACATCAGAGAAGAGACTGGCACGCCTCGATATAACCCGTGGCCATGACGGGCCATACTAGAGGGTTCACATCAAGAACAGCGTCGGACGTGTCGGCGCTGTTCCGCCTAACCCTCGTATGAACGGTGACAGGCGCGTCAGTTCAACACGACGTCCGCCAGGACGGGATGGAACGCCATGACCAGCAGACGACACCTGCGCGTGGCGCTAGTGATGGATATGGTTGCGATGTGGAGCTATCCCTGTTGACATCTACAGAGTCAGCGGGACCCGTATGAAAGAGAAGAAGGACCCGGCGATCCTGTAAGCTTTCCTCTCTCTCGTTCTTCTCATTTTCCTCCGTTGTAACCCGTGCTTTCCCTTGGCCTATAAAAGGGAAAGCAGGGCGTCCCCTAAAGGGGGCCGATCTGATTAAAAACCGATCATCGACACAAGAAGCACGACATGAGCACTCAGCTGAGCAGCAATCGAGCTCTCAGCACCCGTTCACTCATTTCACTAGAGACTTAGGATCCTTTGCCTCTCTCGTCCGTTTGTACCCCTTACTATAAACTTTCAGTGCTAGTAACACGAGCAACAGCGACAAACTGGATGTAGGGACTTTCTGCCCGAACCAGTATAAACCTCGTGTCCTCTAAGCACACCATCCAAACCAGACACGCAATAGAAATTTACTCGTCGGTGGTAACTCGAAACACGAACAATGCCATTGTCTAAATTACACATAGTGCAATAATAAATGATTCTAAAAGTTGAGTGAACTGAAAACCCGAATCTTTGGCCATGTTTAGATTGCAAAAAATTTCAATCCGATGAATAGTAGCACTTTCGTCTTATTTGGTAAATATTGTCCAATCGTGGACCAACTAAGCTCAAAAGATTCGTCTCGTGATTTCCAACTAAACTGTGCAATTAATTATTTTATTACCTACATTTAATGCTCCATGCAAACAGCTAAAAATTGATATGATGGAGAGAGAGTGAAAAAACTTGGAATTTTGAGGGTATCTAAACAAGGCCTTATATACGATTGAGTAAAATTGGACTTTGTTTTTTTTACAAAGTAAATTTGGACTTTGTGAATAGCTGCGGAGGTTAAAATGACTTCTTTCGCAAATTTTCGCCTAACCAGGCTTGCGATGGGAAGGTGGCCCGCTGGACAAACTAGGGCCGTCGTTGGGCTAAGTGGGCTGCACAGCGGGCAAATACGAAAAGAGAAAAAGCCCGTGTTGGGATGGGGGTGACGTACGACCCACTCCACGAACGCAGCGCAAGCTCTCGTCGCCTTCCTCCTCTCCTTATCTTCTGACCTCTCCCCTCCCCTCTCCATTCCCCATTCCCCACTACCGCGGCACGCAGACGCAGCTACCCCCCTCCCTCTCGTCTCCTCCGCCACCTCCTCCCCTCCCCTGCCTAGGGCGCGCCCGCCTCGCCGGCGCAGGGTCGCGACGCTTCCGCCGGCGCGCGCTCCACGACCCCTCTCTGGGAGACCGAAACTCGGCGCGGTAATAATCTCCCCGTTCCCATTTCCCCGTCTGAATATGTGAAGGGTGTCTGTCGGCGCGTCGGGGTTGGGGCCGAGGACTTGTTGGATGGAATTAGGTCCCGCCGGCTCATCCCCTGGCTCACCTGCACGGCGCATCCGCGGGTGCTTTCCTAGTGGGTAGCACGGATGGCTCCGGCGGCGTCGCTTTTGATGTGCGTCGCCTAGGCTAGATGTTGCCCACTTGAGGTTCTGCTGATACGATTTAGAGGGCGTCTTGTTGCCTCAACCAGCAACCATATTTCTCGATTCTGTTTCGTTGAAGTTAGCAACGCAGAACGGCGGCTGGAGGGGTAAATCGATGTGGGATTCTATAGTGTGCGCTCCTGTGCCGTCGGCACAGAAAGGCTGTAGAGTCGATTCGAGGAAATATAATCTAGTCGAGACCTGCAATCGTTTCAGTATGGTGGTTGCTATTGTATTTGATACTTCCGTGAATCCTTGCCACCTTCAGATTTATGTAGTTGCAAACTCTTTTCTTCCATGTGAATTAGTTTGGTTAGCTGCATCTGCACAAACATTTTGTGATATTTACAGTTTTACTTAGTTCGTGTTACAAATTTGCAGGGCTTGGTACATACAGGCCTGGGATTGCCTTCTGCTAGTTCAACATGGAGGGCGCTCTAGTTCAGTCTGCGATTGTTCCAACCGTTTACAGAAGCAGCTTAGGTCGGTTCCGCGCGCGTGCAAGGGCCAGAACAAATGCTACAATGGTGCGGAATATGCCAACAAGGACTCTTACTCTTGGTGGCTTCCAAGGGCTGCGTCAGACAAATTTTTTGGATACAAGGTCCGTGATTAAGCGTGACTTTGGATCGATCGTGGCAAGTCAGATTGCAAGGCCGCACGGGTCGGCCTCGAGAGGGGTGGTTCGTGCCATGTTTGAACGCTTCACTGAGAAAGCAATCAAGGTGATTATGCTCGCGCAGGAGGAGGCAAGGCGCCTTGGACACAACTTTGTTGGGACAGAGCAGATTTTGCTGGGGCTTATTGGTGAGGGCACGGGAATTGCGGCGAAGGTTCTGAAGTCTATGGGAATCAATCTTAAGGATGCCCGAGTGGAAGTCGAAAAGATAATTGGACGTGGCAGTGGGTTTGTGGCTGTTGAAATCCCATTCACGCCTCGTGCAAAACGTGTATTGGAATTGTCCCTTGAAGAAGCTCGTCAGCTTGGTATTATCTTCACCTATCTACACAGTTAGCTCATTTTGTGTTATTAGGTTTGGTTGGTTAATGTCTTCACCTATAATTTTATCTGACTACTTTCTGTGGGCTTTGTTAACGCACATTGAAAATTTTAATCAAACCAGTGTAAATTCTAGTATTTTTAAGTCCTGGTATGGCATTGTATTCTTCTTCCCCATTTTTTTACCGGACATGCAAAATGCTAGTGTATGTTTGTTTACTGATTGCTCATTAAGAAATATGAATGAAAAGGGTGGCTGTTGTATGTGATTTGAGTAGAAAGAAAACAGTACCATAATAGCTTATTATAGTACACATTCTGATGTCCTTTTATATAGTATTGCACTATAAGCTGCGAAGAAGCATGGAATGTTAATTATTGTACTGTTCTTGAAGATGATGCTGATTTATATTTGTTTTAGTTCAGTTGAAACCAAGTGATACCAAATGGGCTTGTCTGCTCCTTAAACAACGCTTGCTACTTGTCTATAGTTCATTTTTGAGTCTGAGACTAGGGTGTTTGTCGTAAGAAACACATGAATTTTCTGTGGACTTTGTTGCCTCTAAATTTTTAATTTAGTAAGTGTGAATTAAACTCTTGTTTTTCTGTTCCCGGTATGGTATCCTGTTCTGACTTTCTCATACTAGACATGCAAGACACTCAGTGTATGTTTGTTGATACATGATAGTGATACGTTGTAGATTGATCACTAACATGTGCAGATATGCATGAATCCGTGACTAATTATTGATTCAGAATGATGCCAAGTTAGTATGGGGACCATTAAATCATGTGGGGTTTGAGTAGAAATCAGGCACTATCATACTAAATTATTGATACATACCGGATCTTTTGATACATACTGTCATTACATGATTAAAACAAGCATTGCAAGTTGGTTAGCTATTTACCATTTTTTAGTTCAAAATTTGCCACCCGTGAGAGGGATTAATTGTTTGTTATAAAATAATATGTGCATAATTGTCTCACGTATGTTCTTCTATGTTGGTTTCTCAGGGCATAACTATATAGGATCTGAACACTTACTCCTTGGGCTACTTCGTGAGGGTGAAGGTGTTGCTGCTCGTGTGCTTGAAAGCCTTGGTGCTGATCCAAACAACATCCGTACCCAGGAAATTCTCTTTTATTGATGTTTTTGTTATCCATTTTTTTTGAACCAAAATTTTGCAGGGACTGATGTTTGATAATGATGTTCAGGTCATAAGAATGGTTGGGGAAAGCACAGAAGCTGTTGGGGCTGGAGTTGGTGGAGGAAGCAGTGGCCAGAAGATGCCCACACTTGAAGAATACGGTACTAATTTGACGAAATTAGCAGAAGAGGTATTTCCACTTTCCCCAGCTTACTTGTTCTTTTGTGCAAGTAACTAGTGAAGACAAATAATTATCACTGTCTTCTTCTGCAGGGCAAATTGGACCCAGTTGTTGGTAGACGAGATCAGATTGAGCGTGTTACTCAGATTTTGGGCAGGCGGACAAAGAACAACCCCTGCCTAATTGGAGAGCCTGGTGTTGGAAAGACTGCTATTGCTGAGGGGCTTGCTCAACGTATTTCCAATGGGGATGTTCCTGAAACAATTGAAGGAAAGAAGGTTAGTTTGGACCATCTGTGGTGCTTCAAATGTCCTTTTTGTCTATTCTTGTGTAGATAAGTAGCAGTACTATCCCTTGGGGCTGAATTCATTGTATTCATTTACAGTAATAGTAGATAGTGTTGTAGTATTAATTTACAAAAGTAGTTAATAATGTATAAAAAGGTTCCCTTTGCTGGGCTCCTACATATGTGACATGCCCTGATTGTTTTGTGAATTTACTTTGCTGGGTTGGCTGCCATTAGTGGGATTGCTTGGATCTGTATTGATTTCTGATATCAGATGTTAGCGAAAAGAAAATAAACCTTTTTTGCAACTTATAATCAGGTGTTCCTGTTCATCCTTTTATTGTTTGAAGGACTAATCAGTATTTATTCTTTTTTCTGGTTAGGTTATTACTCTTGACATGGGACTCCTTGTTGCTGGAACTAAATACCGTGGAGAGTTTGAAGAGAGACTAAAGAAACTTATGGAGGAAATTAAGCAAAATGAAGACATTATTCTCTTTATTGATGAAGTGCACACACTGATTGGAGCAGGTGCAGCAGAAGGTGCGATTGATGCTGCTAATATTTTGAAGCCAGCTCTTGCAAGAGGTGAACTGCAGGTATAGTTCCTGATTCTGAATTCTGGTGCTTCTTGCATTATATTATATCTTATTAGCTTGTATGTGACCGGAAGGTCCCGGGTTCGAGTCGCGGTCTCCTCGCATTGCACAGGCGAGGGTAAGGCTTGCCATTGACACCCTTCCCTAGACCCCGCACAGAGCGGGAGCTCTCTGCACTGGGTACGCCTTTTTTTTTATTAGCTCGTATGTATGGTTTATTTTGGAGAAGGATAAGGTCCCAAATCCCTCATGTAGACTGACTCCAGAATTTTGTAATTTTCCCAAAATAACCACATTCCTGATGATTTTATCTGTGTAGTGCATTGGTGCCACAACGCTGGATGAGTATAGGAAGCATATAGAGAAAGATCCTGCCTTGGAAAGAAGGTTTCAACCAGTTAAGGTTCCGGAGCCTACTGTCGATGAAACAATACAGATCTTAAGAGGACTTCGTGAGAGATATGAACTCCATCACAAATTGCGATACACAGATGATGCTTTAATTGCTGCTGCACAGCTGTCTTATCAGTATATCAGGTTTGCAAAATCACCAAATTTTTTAAGTAGTGTGTTATATATCCACTTGAATTTTACCTTTTTAAGAAGTCACATGGACTCGGCAATGGTATTATATATTTTTGATTGATAATTTGTTAAAATGCTAATTTGAATTATCAGTTTGGATTTTGAGCAACTTTTATTTGCCATCTTCAAGGATCCATGTACATTTTCTGGGCCAATGAAATATTATAATTAATTGATTATAGCTGAACAAAAACAGAGGGATGGATGGAGGGTAGTTTTTTGAGAAAATAGTGTATCCTTTGTTCCTTTCTAGAGAAATGACATTTGTTTTTATTATCAAGCAGGTCAATCATTTGATTGTGATTTAAATGGAAATTTATATTGCTTTTGTTTCTTTCAGTGATCGTTTCCTGCCTGACAAGGCCATTGACTTGATTGATGAAGCTGGATCCCGTGTTAGGCTGAGGCATGCCCAGGTATTGAACGATGATTTTTTCAGACTACAAACAATGTTTGCTGCATTGTTCTTGCTGATTGTGAGCTTTGGTGTTACAGCTCCCTGATGAAGCCAAAGAGCTGGACAAAGAGTTGCGGCAGATAACCAAGCAGAAAAATGAGGCTGTACGCGGCCAAGATTTTGAGAAGGTATACTATTGTTTGAGGTTTTTTGTCCATGGGTTCCAACATCCTCATTATCAAACACGGCATGTTGCAATGTTACAAAAATCCATAAAAACATCATGTTGTACAAAAAGATAAGTACACTTGAAATTTTAATTTCAAATTCTCTCAAGATGTCAATAAACAAAATAGACAAGCAGTCAATCTGGCATTGCTTGTCATGTGCTAACAGTATGACTTGTGTTTTTTCAATCTTGATTTGTCAGATGAATTTGAATTTGAAATTTTTACAGGTCCACTTAACTTTTACAGCACACATGATTTTTTATGAAAATTTTGAAACATTGCAACATGTTGAGTTAAAAGTATTTTTTTGCTAAAAGGTATATTGGATCGCCTGGTCACAAACCAATTGCCCTTAATTGGTTACTTAAACTAATCGAGCAATTGTACTATTTTCACTTTGCAACGGAAAATGCTGAGTTCTATAGAAAGGTTTATAAGGCAAACATGCAGTCTGGATCTTTCATGGTCTGTGAACCAATTCTAGTGTCTCCAATTATTCATACTATCTTACCATTATTGTTTCAGTGAGTTGAACTAATCATTTTGACTATGCATGGGCCATGGGGAAAAAAAGCTCTGAATGCTGCGCTAAGGCTCTAGTGCAATCAGATTTTTACCTGAATTCTCAACTAGCTGTACTACCTCTAAATGTTATCCCTGTTATCTTATCATAATTGTTTCTTGATAGGCTGGTGAATTAAGGGACCGAGAAATGGAGCTTAAGGCTCAAATTACAGCCATTATTGACAAGAGCAAGGAAATGATTAAAGCAGAGACTGAGTCTGGTGAAGTCGGTCCTCTTGTTACTGAGGCGGACATTCAACATATTGTCTCCTCTTGGACTGGAATTCCTGTGGAGAAAGTATCATCTGATGAGTCTGACCGCCTCCTAAAGATGGAAGAGACGCTGCATACACGTATCATTGGACAGGATGAGGCTGTCAAAGCTATTAGTCGTGCTATCCGCCGTGCTCGTGTTGGCCTCAAAAATCCAAATAGGCCAATTGCCAGCTTCATATTCTCTGGACCAACTGGAGTTGGCAAATCAGAGCTAGCAAAGGCTCTGGCGGCCTACTACTTTGGCTCAGAGGAGGCTATGATCAGGCTTGACATGAGTGAGTTCATGGAGAGACATACTGTCTCCAAACTCATTGGATCACCTCCAGGTTATGTTGGGTACACTGAGGGAGGCCAACTAACTGAAGCAGTCCGTCGCCGCCCGTACACAGTTGTTCTCTTTGATGAGATTGAGAAGGCACATCCAGATGTTTTCAACATGATGCTTCAGATCTTAGAAGATGGGCGGTTAACTGATAGCAAGGGGCGCACAGTTGACTTCAAGAACACACTATTGATCATGACATCTAATGTTGGGAGCAGTGTCATTGAGAAGGGAGGCCGTAAGATTGGGTTCGACCTTGACTATGATGAGAAAGACACAAGCTATAACAGGATCAAGAGCCTTGTGACTGAGGAGTTGAAGCAGTACTTCCGGCCAGAGTTCTTGAACAGATTGGATGAGATGATTGTATTCCGGCAGCTGACTAAATTGGAGGTGAAGGACATTGCAGACATTATGCTGAAAGAAGTGTTTGACAGGCTGAAGGCCAAGGACATTAATCTCCAGGTTACGGAGAAGTTCCGAGATAGAGTTGTTGACGAAGGTTATAACCCGAGCTATGGTGCCAGACCTTTGCGGCGTGCTATCATGAGACTTCTGGAGGATAGTCTGGCAGAAAAGATGCTGGCTGGTGAGGTGAAAGAAGGTGACTCTGCCATCGTTGATGTGGATTCAGATGGCAAGGTAATAGTCCTGAATGGTGGCAGCGGTGTTGCTGAGCCACTGGAACCTGCCCTCAGTACCTAAGCGAGGTAAAAAAAAATCTTTGGTCCGAAATATGGCCTTCTTTACAAGTCAGCTCGGCTCCTCGTGATGTTAAAATTAGACTGACATTACTTGGTCTTTCATGATTTTCCTTTTTGTTGGAAGTGAGGCAGTAGGGTTGCTATGGAAATGGATAGATGGAGAGGCGTTTAGCGAATGAAATATGACTTTGAGTTGCCTTGTTTTTGGAAGAAACTTGGAATTTTCAGTTTGATGCACTTGTATTATTAGGCCTTGCTAGCAATGAGATATTGATGTCTGTACGTTTGATGTTGTACTTTAGTAACTTATATCCTGTATGTATGGATATCACTTATCCAAGTTTCGAATAACAGTGGTGGATTGCTACATTCTGCCTTTTGGTCTGCGGATCTAAAATTTGGAATCAATTATTTGCCACGGAGGTTATAAATTTTAAACTTCAGTAACAATATTAGTCTTTGTGCTGCAGCTGTTCTGTTGTCTGCACTGTATTTTGTTGTCGAAATACACTGTTTGTCCTGTTCGTCATCATGTGTAATAAAATCTAAAATCTACTGGAGATTAATATCTCACAAAGTCTAGTACGTATCCATTAGTCTTTGGATGAGGTGTAGACCAGCCTTTAGGCTAATCTCAGTGGGTTGTTTCTTTCATCTCGTGGTTTGAGTGCTAATGAATGAAACAACCACCCTCAGCAAGGTGTTTCATCTCGTAGTTTCAGGGCATATTTAGATTGAAGGAATATCATAGGACGGAGTAAAGAAAACTGCATTCCTCTGAAATACTTTAGCTGGCAAGCAATTTCATAGGAAAGAAATCCGCTCCGCCCATCCCTCCGGAACTGTAGCTGGCTAGCAATTTCATATAAGAAAAAAGAATCCACTACGATCCATGGTTTTGTTTCCCTTCGCGGAAGCTCGAGGCAGCGCGTGACGAGGGGAAAACGAGTGGCTAACGCAAGAAGCTGAGTAGCTGATCTGGATTCATTATCTACTAATAGTTAGTTGGCTAATAGCTATTATTTAACTTTGGTCCAACTAGTGAGATAATTGTTATTGTTAAAAGTGAATAGAATGAACAAGATTTTAGAAATAACTGTTGCTTTCATTGATCTCTTAGATATATATACAAGTAAAGGGTGTGTTCAAAGGACACAATTGACGGGAGAAGTTACATCTCGTCACCAAGAGACATGCCCCTTCGGTGACACAGTTAACTGTAAATCTAATTTCTAATCCTATCTCTAACTGCACATCTAATTGGATGAGATCACCGATGAATAGGTGTCTGTTGGTAGGCACCGTTTCGTAACACTCTCCCTGATCGAATCTTCTATGAGATCAATATAGCTGTATGTTTGAATTCGTCGAAAAACCCTGTGGAAAAAATCTGAGGAATATGTATGTATAGATATGCTATAAAAACTTCTTTAAACCTTATAAAAAAATAAGTAGAAAATAACATATATGAGTGTGATTTAAATAAATCATTATGTCATTGGTATCCCATTAAAAATTCCAGTGGAAAAAAATATAGGAGATACGACATATAGATTACTCCATAAAAACCATTTTAGGAAAAATATGAGGAGCAATATAAAGTGATATGTCGCTAAAACTCCTGTAAAAACCCAGTGGAAAAATTAGGAGAAAATATGACGATATATTATTGGTATTGCCTCTTAGATAACTCACATGAAAAACCCTTTTCGGGGAAAAACTATGGATGAGTTGTGAGGGTAATATGTGTCTTTGATATTGAAAGCATCTAGGCCCCTAATTGGGTTTCGGTGACTAATGACAATGTTAGATTACTGTGACTAACGTGTGTTTTGCAGAGGCAATTAAGTTAGGTCACGGTAATGGAGATCGATTGGGCAATCATGGTTGTCATGCCCCTACGATGGAAATCGTTTTGGTTTTTAAAGGATGGACGACAGGGTTAAGGATGACTAGTTCTAAGTGTCGATCGGAGTTGAAGAGACACTTAGAGTAGTTTAGGACTTTATTTTTCCTTTAGCCGTACTATTAAGGGGGTTATGGACGGGTAGCTTGACCTAGATGAGTCTAGTGAGTTAGGTGTGGTGCACACTTGTTAAAACTAGCACTAGGTAGCTCCTACATATGCCAAGATCAAATGGAGCAAACTTCATTCTCGTATTATCGAGAGTTGGAAGTGAATGGAGGGTCAAATACTGACCGGACGCTGGCTCTGGTGCGACCGGACGCTGGCCGTAGGGTCCGATCAGTTCATTTGATCAAGGAGATTGCGTCTGGTGCGACCGGACGCTGAGAGGCAGCGTCCGGTCGACTCCAGTAAGGTTCTAGAAGAGTGAATCTACGACCGGACGCATCCGGTCAGTGCTGACCGGACCCTGAGGATCCAGCGTTTGGTCGAGCACAGTAAGCATCCAGTAAGGGAAAAATGGGACCGGACGCGTCCGGTCAGTAGTGACCGGACCCTGCCAGCGTCCGGTCAACACGTAATCACTGGTGTGCGGGTTGAACTGACTGGAGCGTCCGGTCAACATGACCGGAGCGTCCGGTCACCCCGCAGAGGCACATAACGGTTCGTTTTTCAGCCCATGTTATAAATAGAAGCTCCACTCGTGTGTGGAGGTACTTTTGCTTATTTCAACAGCTGAAACACACCTTAGAGAGTGCCAAGAAGAGCAAGGTCCTAGTGAGGTGATTGAGATTTGAGAATCCAAAGAGAGCCCTCATTAGTGAAGATCAAGAGTAGTAAAGTGTGCATCCACCCTTCTCCCAAGGCTTGTCGTGGTCAAGTGAGAGTTCGTGCTTGTTACTCTTGGTGATCGCCATCACCTAGGCGGCTTGGTGGTGATTGGGAGCTTGGTGATCATCCGGAGAGCTTATGGATGACCCAACTCAAGTTATGAGCGGTTGTGGGTGATTTACCGCGACGGAGTGTCAAAGAATCAACCCGTAGAGAGCACTTGATCCTTGCGCGGATCAAGGGGAAGCTACACCCTTGCGTGGGTGCTCCAAAGAGGACTAGTGGGAGTGGTGACTCTCCGATACCTCGGCAAAACATCGCTGCGTTTTCTCTCCTCTCTTTACTTTGAGCATTTACTTTGAGCATTTCAATTCTTCTCATTTACATTCCTAGAATTGCCATGCTAGAGTAGGATTGGAACTAGGTTGCTAAACTTTTGTGCGTTAGATCAATAGAAACACTTCTCTAGGCACAAGGGGTTAATTGGGCTAACCATAGGACTTGTTTATTGCGAAGAAATTTAGAATTAGCCCAATTCACCCCCCTCTTGGGCATCTTGATCCTTTCAATTGGTATCGGAGCCTCGTGCTCATGTTTTTAAGCTTAATCGCTTAGAGCAAGATGTCTCACGGGGATGAACCTCCTCCTATCTTCGAGGGGGATGATTTTCCATATTGGAAAATTCGCATGGAGGCGTACCTAGAAGCTCTAGACGTTGGAATACTTAGAGCCGCCTCACATGGGTTCCCAAAACCTAGGAATCCCGCACAACTTCAAGGCGATGAAGTGAACTATGAAAAATGGAATGCAAAGGCTCGCAACACCATCTTTAGAGGCCTTTGCAAAGATGTGTTCAACCGCGTAAGGAACCACAAAGACGCCCATGCACTATGGTCGGACGTTTGTGCGCTCCATGAGGGAACAAAGAGTGAGCGTGAGGAACGCTATCATCTTGTCATGAAAAAGCTCAACTCTTTTGAAATGCTTCCTAAAGAATGTGCTAATGAAATGTATTCACGTTTGAATATTCTTGTAGAGGAAGTCAATGGGTTTGGACTTACTCAAATGTCACCATCCGACGTTGTGAGAAAGATCTTGAGTGTCCTTCCCATTGACAAATATGGGCATATTGTGACCGTGCTACATCAAGGTGATCTTTCCACCGCTACACCGACACAAATCTTGGGAAAGATCAATGCTCATGAAATGTACATGCACATCACAACTCAAGATGGCTCATCCTCTACTAAGAAGAAAGAAAAAGATTTAGCATTCAAAGCTAGTCAAGATAAGGGCAAGGCAAGACTTGAGTATGAGAGCTCTAGTGATGAAGAAGATGAAGATGAAGATCTTGCTCTCATGGTGAAGAAAGCCGCCAAGATGCTAAAGAAGCTAAACAAAAGTGACATCAAGTTCGATGGCAAGAAGAAGAAGTTCTTCACAAGCTCTAGGAGAAAGCCAATCTCCGAAATGGATTGCTTCAATTATGGTGAACTTGGTCATCTAGCACACCAATGCACCAAGCCCAAGAAAGACAAGTTCAAGAACAAGTTCAAGGGCAAGAAAGATGACTCAAGCAATGAAGAAGAAGATGAAAAGAAGAAGAACAAGCCATACAAGAAGAGAGATGGCAAGAAGAGAGACTTCCACAAGAAGAAGAAGAGTGGAAAGACCTATATTGTCGGTGATTGGCTCACGGATATTGATTCATCTAGTGGATCATCCGATGATGATAGTGACGATGAGAAGGTGGCCGCCATAGCTATTGATCTCTCATCTTCACCGCCACCACCGCCATCATCCTCTACACACCTATGCCTTATGGCCAAGGATGAATGCAAGGTAACTAACAATGATGATAGTAGTGATGATGAGCAAGCTAGTGATGATGATATCGATAGCGATGATGATGATTCACCTTCATATGATGACCTTGTTAAAATTCTAAGAAAATACACTAAGATCATTAGAAAGAGTAGAGCTAAAATTGAAAAACTAGATGCTAAGAATGATTCACTTTTAGCAAAATATGATACAATAGAAAAGGCTAATGTTGAGCTTAGAGAAGCAAATGATGCTATGCCATCCAAACTCAAGGAGCTCAAATCTTCTAAGAAAGAGCTTAAAGATAAATATGATAAACTTAAGTGGGTGCACAATGAGCTTATCACTAGCCACAACAAGCTAAAAGATGAATATACTACTCTTAAGATTAATCATGATAATCTTGCTATTACTTAAGAATTTCTATCCAATGAGCCGCA